TGAGTAAAAACTAACATTGTCAAATTTAAAGTTTGACCATAATTTAAATAAATGAAATGAATTTTTTGTTTAAAATCTACCAGTCAAACATGGAATTAGTGATTACCTAGTAATCAATCAATTGTTAACATCTCAGTCATACATAAAGTCACTTCAGACCCGAATATCTCAGTGGTAATATATTAGACTGTGAATTTATGAAATCAGGGTTCAAATTACACAGGAAATATTAGTTCTCTAAAGATTGCTGGTACGCTTTATTGATGAATGACAACTGGAACAAAATCTAAGCCTATGTTTTTCTATTCACTATTTTCAAACAATTCACAGTTCACATTTATTCCACTATGGTGATCTTGAAAAATTCTATGAAGAAAAAAAATACTATTCTTGCATTCGAACATCATATTTACCCAAAGTAAATTGTCATTTATAAAAAAATGATTACAATGAGTAATTGATTCCAATGCGAAAATTCTTTTAGTAAATAGTTGGAATAATAATAGCGGTAGGCTATCTGTTAGTTTCATCTGATGTATATATGTTCTGGGCAAAGCGACTAATGTACTCGACAAAAACTACTTATCTAAACACTAATCGATATAAGATAATCATTATTATTTAGAAATAGAAATAAGATAAAACAACGAATACTAAGTAAGATTGAAGTAGATGGTTAGTAAAATGGTTCTACAGGAGTATAACGACTAAGAAATTCGATAGAATTGTCATATTGATCGACATAAATCATTCTAGAAAACTCAAGCTTCTTAACAATATTTGTTATTTGTACTGAGATTAACCAAATAATGATTTCATAAAAATTATGGAGCGGTCTAAATTAGACCACTATTGAAAACTTGTGAGCACTAGATGGGGGTTGCGTGCTGGTATGGAACTCCTCAGTAGTTCAAATCCATGGTTCTGCACGCGGGATTCGAACTCATGACCTTTGGTTTTGTGCGCGGCACCCAAGGATATTAATGCCTTGCTTCAGTCACAGGACTAAATGCCAGCTCAGTGCTTCTAGGTTCAACTTAGATTGGTTTAGAAATTCAATGGAATTCAAGAATATCCACAACTCTATACCGTAAATAATGGTTCTTCGTTAATTTGGGTTGTACTGATCAATCTAGTATTACGGTACTGTTTGCATTATTGGATTCCAAATTAATATAAACGCTTGAATCCTGATAATACATACAAGATAGATGTATATTGCAGCAAGTTGCATGATTAATTATAAAGATAATAACTACTGGAATCTAAATGACTGGTTTAATTGTCTCGCGTTTATCTCTTATTATATGTAACCCAGACAATAGATTTTTATGGGTCCGCCCTGTAAATTAATTACATTATGTTTTATTTCAGTAAATCAAACTGCCTTAGTTATCAATCGCTACTTAGAGAAGCTAGCTACAGTAACATTTTTAAGGAATGTTAATCATTCTCTTGTCTAAATTTGTCAACTTTTCTTTGTTATATTACGTATGGTATATAGATTATATATTTTATATTATTATGTCACTGTCATAGACCATTCTATCTTCTTACGTAATTGACCATTGTTTTTTACTGGAACCACTGACTGACAATAATTGCTCTGTGACTGATTATCCCTTGACCAGTATAGCTTGTAGCGAATGTCGCTTATTCTATTGAGATTTGTACCCAGTCAGACAAATTATAACTTACTTTTTATAAGAATGTATTAGACAGATAGGAATAAACATTAAGTTTGGAAAATAAAAGTGAGTGATTAATTTTGTTCAGTTTATGTTATGTAGTCACAATACGTCAACGTTGAATCTGAGTTTAGATCAAATGTCGCGTGTTTAGCTTGGATCCAAACACTTAAATGCTAACTATGAAAAATATCTGAAGTTAGTAGGAAAATGTGTTTATTCGTGTGTCTATTTATCCAGTGAAAGGTAGAAAAAAGACGTCAGAGATAACGCAGATAACAATAGACGTGTCAGACTGTCTCACCATCCGTCATCGTAAATTTTATTTAAATTGCATATGGCGTCACTAAAACACCAATCTGACTAAATGTGAATATCGTTTGTAATATAAATAAATGAGAACAGAAGTAAAAATATAAAGAAGAGATTCACGAAGACCTAATCGAAAAAGTAAGTTCACAAAGGTCACCAGACACAAACCTACCTTATCAAATTCATTGGAATTAGCATAAAATAGAAGTCATGTATTTTTATTACAAACAAAATGTGGGTACCATATAAATGACAGACTAAAATAAACATGACTTAATGAGATTAAAACATTGATTTTTCATAAAATTTGGTTTTTGATTGAGATCATGAATCAACCTATAGACCACTGGTCTAGAAGTTAAGCGTTCGTGCGCGACACCGGAGGTCCTGGGTTCGAATCCCGCGTGCGGGACTGTGGATGAGCACTGCTGAACAGTCCCATACTATGACAAAATGGCCGTCCAGTGTTTTCAGGTCTTCGTTGGTGATCTATCATTCATCGATTCATGATCTCAATCGAAATCTCAAAGATCTTCACAACCCCATACTGATCACAAAATTAGTATTTGGTTAAAATGTAGTCTGATAGTCTGATAGATAAAGTGCGTTAAAAACAGATATAATGTTACCGATCCTCCTTGTATATAATCCTGGTTACCATAAGTGTAAACAAAGGAAATTTCTAACAGTGCGTGAATTAGACTTTATGATATTATATCATAAAATAATCTGTTTGACTGAGACTTATTGAATATGCATACTTCCTGGTTAGAATTTGTTGGATTACAATATTGTCTGTGATCTGAGGCTTTCCAGGTGATATCGTATAAAATCCATTGAAAATCCACTTTTTGTCTCAGTCTAAATTTTGATTTTTGATTTTTACCGCATAGTTTTCATCCTCATGCTCTGTTTTGCCTATTAAGAATAGATAGATTGTGCCCAACAATGAAATTCAGACACACATTTTGTCCCATTTTTAGAATTTTCAGCCTGATTTACCGGAATGCTAGTATTGACGTTCACGCCAAGACTCGAACCCGATACCCTTCTCTTCGATCTTCCAACGCGTTAACAACTGATCTATTGAACCCAAATAGCTAGAAGAGTTTTTGATGGCTATGACGTTTATATCATTACTAATGGGCTCACATTTTAATAAAAACATCAACATTAGGATCCAGAGACAACCAGACAGCAGATCCAAAGTATGACGAAACGCGCTTCCTGAATTACATAGTTAACCACAATTCATCCATTTAAAATAACTCGCTATGAAATAGACATGTTGAAGTAATAAACGTAGGAGCCAATCAGAAGTAGCCTAATGAGAAGTTCAGTCGATGGAAATCAGAAGTGACCTAAAGAATAAGTGAATCTCATTGGCTAAGAAATTGATCAATTTCCTAAGGATTAGAGTGGTACATATATGTAAGACTATTTGTGTATTTTATTCGGTAGCCCCATACGCTTTCTCATCCACTACTGTGTTCTCGCTCAAGTAGTCCGTTGGGTGGTTAGTGCGTAGTACACCGTGTGTCAGTAGCAAATTTTGGACAACGCACATCTCAACAATTAGATTGTTGTGTTTATTTACCTTCTTTTTATTTTTACCTCGTTCCTTTGATCATTGTCTATCTATGTAAAATATGCCATTCTGTGTCAATAAACATTTATATCAGGTTATAAATTGTTTATGAATGATTGACTGAAGAAAGAAGCAATTTATCAGTAGAATAAAATCTTGAATACATTATTTGTTTTAATTTCTTCAATAGTTTAAGAAGGAACAAAACATTATCACTAATAAATGCTGAGTGGTTAATATTGTCCCAGTAGAATTTATAGTTTTAGGTATTTTGTGGTTATACACAATTTTCCATTTTGTTAGTGATTTGACTAATATTTAAAGCTACAATATTCTGTTCAATCAAACAATTATAAATTGGAATGAAATCCATATCTTTTGAACAAATGGGTGGTTATATGAATTCACTAGCTAAGTGGAGTTCGCCTTGAACATCTGAAGTTTAAGATATTAGATTCAAGTCCTTGTGTGAACAGTAGAACCGAGATGCATGTACACCAAACTAATGAATGCCAAATAGAAAGGAAAGTTTGATGTAGATTCCACTACTTGTTAATTTTCATCTACTTTACAAAAGTAGGTTTATTAACTGTTGATGAATTAGCGGACTAAGTTCACTGGAAAAGCTTTCAACCAGAAGAATATAAAATTAAGATGCTAGTATTATTACCAAAACGTCTTTATTTTGGATAATTGTTGAAAATATCACAGACGTATAGTGTTATTCAGTTTTATATTAAGTTGTTTTCTCTATTGTTGAAACAAGAAATACCAAATAAACACCAAATAGCTGTTTTGTTTTGGATTTTACCTTCCTAGAGGTATGTATTCACGGGAAAGTTACATAACGAAAAGCTAAAAATTAAGTAACAAAGTAACTTTATCACCATCAAACTACTGAGTTGAAATTCTATTTTGTACAATTCTAACTTGGGATTATGTAAAGATTCCTATCAGTCACTTTTAACCCTTTGTAAAAATTGGCATGATTATTTCTGACCAAATATTTATTGTTTTGTTTGTTTGCTTGTTTGAAAATTAGTGGTTTGCATTATTTCACTAATCTAAGAAAATGATAACCAATTTAAAGAACTATTGATCATTTTTTTCCTTGAAACTTTGTACTACTTATAAAACTCATAATTACCATGACTAATACTAAAAAAACTATTCAGTCAATATTATCAGTCTGGTTTATCCAAATTGACAATGATTTTCTCATGGAATTCAGAAAATTTAAGATGTATTAAATGCATAGGAAATTAGAAAAATAATTTTATTTCCCTTTGATTGGTTTATTTTCCCTAAATTTTAATTGGTTAACATCAACTGTTTTATTTGGAATATTATTGGTTAAGAGGAGAAAGTTGATCATATTACTATAAAACAGAATGGTAATAAAAGGCATTCACAATACCATCGTTTAATTATTTCATATTTAATACGACAATGGATTATTATTATTACTATTACTATTATTACTATGATCATCATTATCAGGATAAAGTTGAAGCTAGAGGCTAGTTAAAACATTATGCCACGAATAATATTAAGTTGGATACTTTTAATATGGATTACATGTGCTTTTTTGTCTATTCTAATCACGATTTCAAGTTTTCTTAGTCCATATTGGTTAATTCGTATTGAAACATCAGAAACACGCCGTTTAACAGCATGTCCACAAAATAATCTCTTTAATACTGTTAATAATAATATTGGTACAGATTTATTTACTATAAATTCCAATAGATCAGACAATGAATTCATACAATTAATAATACCACCATCTATTGGACCATGGTTTCGATGTCAGAGTGTATGTAAACTTTCAGATTCTAATAATAATAATAATAATAATGATAACAATATATTGAACTGGGAACTTTTTGATGATACTTTATTTAAATGTCAATTATCAGTGTGGGGATTTGGAGCAAAACCAGCTATTGCAAATAAATTAATATGGTTATCTGGATTAATTAGTATGATTGGATGTTTTTTATTGTGTATATCATTCATTTTTATATTATTAACTCTATGTAAACGTGAAATCTGTGATCATAGTGTATTTAGTTGTACTGGATCATTAATTGGTAGTGCTGGTGAGTAGACTTTTTGGTTTTTATTATACTTATACTTATATATATATATATATATATATATATATATATATATATATATATATATATCAATTTGGAAACAGCATCATTCACTTAGTTTCCCCGGTTTCAAGTAGCCACAAAAAAAACACAAAGTAGATCAGTACAAAACAAAATCTGGGCTCTTTTCCTAAATCGTGTAACTAACATACAAATCCTCGTAAAATTATTGATTACCTGGTTTATTGTTATTATTATTTTTCATTTTTGTTGTTATTATTTTCATTGTTAGTGTGACTTTTATTTAGTCTAGCTGTCTCAGTTCATTTTCTATATCCTTAAATCAAATGTTCATCTAAATTAAAGTTGTTTTTTTTGTTTGGAAATGTCATCATCTGAAAGTAATTACTAATTTTATTATGCTTTTAATATTATTACAAATAATAAGTAAAAATTATAGGTATTACGTAAAGACGAGAAAATAATCTGACATTGATTGTCTTCTATCCCGATCAAAGAAGATTTACTATAGGGGAGTTTGTGAAGGTTGATGGATTTCATAGTTTACATGAGGGATCAATCTTAGTCAGACAATCATTGAAAATCTAGAAGCACTGAATATCTGTTTCGTCTTGGTATAGAATCCTTCAGCGGTGAACATTCACAACCCGACAGGAGATTTAAACCGGAACTGTCAAGTTTTGAGGTGAGCTGTCAACTTTTAGACCACTGAGTTGATATCCAATGGTTTACACTTCTATCAATTGGCGATTTCGACTGTCTAACTAAGATTAATCAGTGATATCCTGCTTCGGTTTGAGCACCCGGGTAGTATGACAGCCCTCACACATATCAAATGAGATCTGTGTGGTGCATATGTATTTGGTGCCTCCTTGTACCAATATCTATGTGTTAAAATAAATAAAATAAATAATCAGTGATGTTAACTACAAGATTTAATTGCGAGTTTATGCGCAGTTGATGATTCATTATCAAACTAAACTTGAACTGTGCTAACATCTAGAATAATTAGGTTCAAACCCATAGATTTACATGTTAAATAGGTTAGAAAAGTTTCATTGGAAATTGCTATGTTAAAGTTTCGTCTTGGCCCGTATGATTTATTTGGATAATCTAATGTAGAGATGAAGCTTATTACAACTATTTAATATGTATATTATCTCCATACATTTCGAACAGTCTGGTCACACAAACTTGTAAATTTATTCATATGTCATAAGTACAGATCAAATCAGACAATTGGAACATGAAAAAATAATACGACAATAAAGAACAAACGATATGAATCATATCACTGTAAATATTAAATCACTTTTTGTCAGGTTGCATTTAGTATAATAACCAGGTTCTCTCAACTAATTTTTGAGTTAAAAACAAATCGGGCAATGAAATCGCTTTTTTTATTCATAATGGTAAAGTCACATTTTGTTGTGATAACAAAAATGGACAGATTCTTGTATTGTACTGAGGTCCGTGTGATCGAGCAGTCGTACTATCTAGCTCGATCATTGGTTATTTCGCCTATATTGTTTGCAGGATATATGATCTATTTACCAAATGGCACAATTACCAATGAACAGTAATCAAGACCTTAAATATCTATCTGTCATCAAGCCACCTTCAACTCAGTGTTCAATCCGAAGATGAAGATAGAAAACAGATTTATTCTCTATTGTACTCTATTAGATCATGACTGAAAACTTATACATTAATATACACCTCACAACTACACAAATAGAAAATTAACATGTAAACACAATTCAGTCATAAATGATATAAGACGGGATTAATAGGGAAATGATTAATGTATAGTGACAATAAAAAGTGTTAGCGGAAGATAGACTGGATTAAAACATGCTCAATGCACCATTGCTTTGCTGCACGCTGATTGGCTAATTCTTATGCAGTCAGCGTTAGTCAATACTTAGTGAACACTCTAGAAACCTTCTCATGTGAAGAACTATAAATACACTGACGTTTTCCCAATTGTGCTTCTTACTTCCACTTAACCTTGTTATTTGGAATATAATCTCTCTCCTGTTCAACCGTGTTCTGATTTGGGGACTTGTCGAGTGAACTAGTGTCCGAGAATACTAGCAATAGGAATAGCTGGGTTATAACCGTAAGAGAGAAATATAACAAAAAGTAAGAACAATAGTTTGTTGGTCAAACAAAAGCTTGGAAATAGATAAATAAATAAAAAATACAGTAACCTAGGCGTCTAATAAGCATGCAAAACAAATGTAGGCCATAATTTCCTGTAATGTACTTCGGAATGTTTGAATTTCCCAAAATTCTCTTCGATATGAATAATTGTATGAAGATAAAAATTCAATCATCAGAATTTTTTGGGTAATTCCATTTTGTATTTATGATTCTAGAAATGACTAAACAAAAACTAGGTCGATTATAACTTAAATTGTATTTTTTAATTTTGCAAACATAAAATATCTATCCCCATTCAAATTGTTTCCATTTTATAAGTTATAATTTCAGTTCAATAGAGAAATTAAAAATAAGTTTTATTTGTATTCATAAACGTAACTGTAATTGTTCGTAGTACATGTATATATATAAAAGACCTAAGCTTCATGGTGGTCACGACTCGTTAGTAAGGTGTACCTACAATGTTTAGCACATTGATGCTCCTTACACGATCTGAATAAACGTCAGTACATGTAGGATTAAAAATATGTCTGGCTCACAAATGGTAGCTAACATGTAATCTAGGTCCAGAATTACCTATTGATTACCTCTGAACACCTGACGTTGATCGGCCCTACGAGATAGAAATGCGATAAGTGAATTTTCACTTTCTAGATGTCTCTGAGAAACTTTTAATGAATGCTAATTAAATAAAATGTTTCCCAGAGTTTTTAGGGCGCCTTTGGGATTTTTTTCGAGGAATTTTGTGAGTCTACTCAACAGATCTATTTTACCATTAGTATCGTTATCATGAGCCTTTTAAGGCTTTGCTATTAATGATCTCTTGATCAGTTTTCTTTTAAACGTGACAGACTAAACTGACACATAGTTATTTTTAACCATTATGTTATTTCTGTACCTAAAACAGGAAACGGATATTCGGATAAATTCAAGTCCAAGAAGTCTGTTTTAATTACTAACAGATATCAGCTAATAAACTATTTAAAACTGAGAAGTATTTAATACCTATGTTCGTTTTGTATGACTGAAGATAGGAATTCTTTATCATAGGATTGCGAATGATGGAATTGATCAAATGTAAAGGGTCTTAGGTGTTTAATACCAAGAAGTTCCCGAATTGAGACTAAACAAATGTCTTTGAATTTCGAGTTTAAATGATTTACAAGTTGATAAAAGTACTTGATTTAAAGAAACTTAAAAAGTTAGAATTCTCCAGAACGACCTTCATTTATATAACTACTAAATAATTACTTCAGTTTCCATCATAACATTCAGTAACGTATAGAAATGCCTATTTAATAAGAAAAAAAACTGGCTAACATGACATATTCTACATATAGATCTATAAGAATAAGAGTTTAATACTATTTTGAAATAAATAATAAAACAGAATTTCAATCCTAGAATGTGAACCTAACAGTTTTGTTTTATTCCATTTCCAAAGATCATTGCCACCAAACACTTTCGATCTGATCTATGTGAACAGAAAGAAAGTGTGATAAATCTCTTGTTGTATATTAAAATAATTATAGTCATATAACTCTACCTATTGTGTAATCCTTTTTTAATTATATCTAAACAATCCAACAGCATTCAGTTTTGACGTTAATTGTAAATCATCTATTTTTCTGGTTAACGCATTTTTAGCGAGTTAGTTTTCTACGGGATGGGGTCACTAACCCCATGCCCAACCTTCCTCCTTTACCCGGGTTTGGGACCGGCAGTAGCCCCGGGGGGGGGCTCTAGGCGGAGTTAAATCATCTATACATCTCGATTATGAAACCATTTATTTTTGAAACTTTTTTCATATGATTTCATTTTTCACATGTAAATCATTCATCGATTTTTACTATTATATGTTTAGTGTCAGATTTGGTGATTTTTTTCTACTGTGATGATTTTCTCCCCAGTTTTGAACATCAATCTCAACTTCACTGACTAGAGTATACAAAATTGTATTTAAAAGAATGTGTTAATATTTATAACTTTAGAATGTTTACAGTTGATTTGAAACCTTAAAAGTTGATTCATTGTATTCTATGCTATAACAGAAGGAATATTGGGAATGTTGTTACTCTTGGCTGTATTCTCCGTACTATTATTATTATTATTATTATTATTATTATTATTATTATTATTATTATTTGTATCCATATCCCCTTTACTGTAGGCTTCTAATGGACTTACTAGCTTTTATTATACATTTTACTATTCCTTCATTATTGCTAATTAATTAGATACTGTTTAGTTCACTCTTTACCACTTATAGTATAATTGTGCTTAAAATATGATTTCTTATTTGATATACTGCATGGTCAGGTATTCTCTATATAGTATTGTATGAGCTTGTAACCATAATCGAATCGGATAAAATAAAGAACTAATCTGTCACCTATCAACGTTTTCTGATTGACCAGTGAATTAGAAGGGGACTCGATCACCAATAGACGTTAATTCCTTGGTTATCGTTTATTAGTCAGTTTGTAAGTTTGTGAATTGGTTAAAGGTCTGACTGAAAATATAGAGCATGTGATATCGGTTAGGAATTCACATGCATTAATGAAACCCACAACCAGTGTCCTTCTTTCAAGATATAGAATCCTGTAGTTTTTTTTGTTCTTGGTTTTGTTTAATGCTTTTATCGATCAACATGGTCTAGTCAACGTTAATATTCTTTAACTACTCAAACCCTCTAATAGTTTTATGGTAGAAACTGAAGAACAACTGCTTTAAAGCTAAGTTAACCTGAATGAAATTAACTGGCAAAGTTTATACCAATATTTATAAATATTTTATGATTGATGTTAAAAGTAACT